TTTCTTCAGAATTGATGTCCTTGATACTTTAATAAGATAATAATAAAGAATTATTATCCATTATCATTAATATTAGGGCTTTTAAAATAATATATCAAGTTGAGATCTACACCAAAATGGATCTTTGTTGAACATATAATTTGATATAGTCTAAAAAAGAGATGAATGAAAGATAATATTTCAAAAAAAGTACTAACATTTTGAATAAAATGTCATGTCTTTTGAATTGATAAATATTTCAACTATATTATAGCATTTGATGAATGATATTTTTTAAAAATTCTTAAATATTTTTATTGTCTGATATCTTAATAATATATTAATCTATTCTAAGATTCTTAAAAAATATAAAAAATACTTGAGATTAATTTTGCAAAAGTTATGAGATACAAGATTATATGTGAAGTTAGAAAAATATGTATTCTATTAGTCAAAAGTAGAGTTTTTTGGATATATTATAATCAATAAAGGCCTATTGATGGACTTAAAGAAAATTCAAGCTATAAGAAAATAAAAAATTCTAAAGACAGTATAAAATACATAATATTTTTTAAAATTTTCTAATTTTTATTGGATATTTATCAAGAATTATTTCCACGTTGGTACTCTTCTTACTTGATTGATATCCAAAGACAAATTGAAATTAAAACCTCAAACATAAAGGACTTTTTAAAATTTGAAGGTAATGTTTATTATAGCTTGAATCTTAATGCATCCAGATTTTATAAAGGCCTTTTATTTGGAGATTGATGCTTTAGACTTTGTATTAGAAGTTGTACTATTATATAATGAAATGAATGGAAAGCTTCACCTGGTTGTATTCTATTCTAAAAAGTTTTTAGCTATAGATATCAATTATGAAATTCATAATAATGAGCTTTTTGTAAATATACACTCTTTCTAAGAATGGAATTACTTATTAGAAGGTGCTACATATCTTGTAATTGTATATACAAATCACAAAAATTTGAAGTACTTCATATCAACTCAGATTTTGAATCACTACCAATTTCATTGAAATATGTCATTATCTCATTTTGATTTTGTAATTATATATCAATTAGAAAACTAACAAGAACTATTAGATGTTTTATTAAGAAGATTATATCTTCATCCAAAGACTAAATAAGTAGCATTTAATGAGCAAAATACCACTTTTTTGAAGCCAAATTTTTTTGTCTTTATACTATTTCTATAGTTACATCTATTAATTTAAGTTTTCTTAAAAACAATTGTGCAATATCAATTAAATATTCATTAGTTTGTAATATTAAGTAGTCTCTTGATAATGACAAGTTCAAATTTATAGAAGATTTTTTGTATTTTAAAGATTATTTATATATTCTAAAAGAATTGATGCAACTTGTGTTTTTCAATCTTATCATGATTTTTTAATTGCATGATGTTTTGGATTTAATAAAATATTAGAGCTTATCTCTTAAGATTTCTAGTGGTCTCAAATATGAAAGACCATAAAAGACTTTGTCTTCTTGAGTGATATTTGCTCAAAATCCAAAAATTCTTGAGATTGTTCTTATAGACTTTTACAACTACTACTAATTTTGAAGTAACTATGGTCTTTAATATCAATAGATTTTATTACTACTCTACCACCATTAGTTATATTTGATGCTATCTATTTGATGACATTATTTTTGATTAAGGACCTTAATTTATACAAAAGTTTTAGAAATATTTTTTTAAAATATTGAAAGTGGATATCAAATAATAATAATATTTTTAATATTATTTTTAATGATATCCTTAATATCAAATAATAATAATTTGATTCAATAAACACCATTTTATTCAATCATGGTTATTATCTAAAGTTTAATTTGTTACATACATTAAAGGATGAAACTTAGACTTAAAAGAAGAAGTGATGTTACAAATATCCATCAAGAAGATTTCAGAAATATTTTAAAAATACTCTATGATATTTTAAAATATTTTTAGAATATTCTAAAAAAATTAAAAAGTTCTAAGAGGATTAAAGAAGTTGTCTAAGAAGCTTTCTAGGATTACTTCATTTTCAAGTAACATCGAAACTTCTCAAGAAACTTTTTAAGATTGCTTTATCTTCAAATAACATAAAAAAATTTTAAGAATTTTTCTAAAATTGCTTCATTTTTAAGAAATATGTGAATTTTTTGAGAAGCTTTTTAATACCTAATATATATTAGAGTCAATGCTGAAAGGATCACCAATCTTGATAATATATCTCTTAGAGTTTTAGCTCACTTTTCTTGGTGTTGATCTTATATTCATCCAATTTAATCAAGTTCTTGTTAGCTTTCTTGAAACTCTTATATTCAACTTCTTCTTTAGTCTCTTGTATAGTATATCCATGACAAAAAGAGTACCTTAGTAGAATACACTAATGCAAACCATGTATCATATTTGGATGAAAAAAAATTGATTATAAGATATATCTTTTTATTGGACTCAAGTCTTATTATATGGAAATCAAAGAAACAAAGTTGTATGGCTATTTCCTTCATGGATTCAAAATATATGGTACTCTCTAATAGCTCAAGAGATGCCATATGACTTACAAATCTTCTTCATGATTTAGGAAGAGATCAAGTCAAATCTATCTTCATGAAATATGACAATGTCAATACAATGAAGGTGTCTTAGAACAACATTTATCATGCCAAAAAAAAAACACATACATGTCTTCTTCTACTATATTAAAGAAAAATTAGAAAAAAAAAACAAGATAATTTGAATACATATCTAATAAACAATAAATTACTCATATTTTTACTAAATCGATTAAAAAGAAGGTCCTAAACGTTTGTTCAATTTAAAGATTTAATAAGGTAAGTATCAATTTTTTATTTATAATATTTTTTTGTGATTAAATTGAATCCATTCTTTATTCTTCTATCTTGTTTGATTCTATCATCTAAATTATAAAATATTACATATTAATAATTATTTATTTCTTTTGAGTAAGAAAGTTCATCAATGATTTGATTTTAGTGAGCATGCTCCTCATTAGAAACATTGCTCTACTCTCATAATATGCTCCAATTTTCATAGCTTGGTTGACCTTCTTCAATGTCACTTAATCTCCAATTTAGAATAAGAAGAGCACAAGTAAGGAGCATATAATAGTTGGAGTGTATTTTAACATATTTTGCAAAATGGAAAAGCATTTGAATAGTACAAACATTAATTTGATATCTTTGTTTTCATATATTAAAATAATGATATAGAGAGTAATCTTCATCAAAACTAGTGACTCTTACTTCTAATTCCTTAAGTGTTGATTCTAACAAATGATACCAAAATGTGTTGAGTGTTTTCAAAATATAGGTTTGAGCTAGGTTAGAGTTCCATATCCAAACAATACTAAATGTAACCTCAAAAGAAATTAAAACATAATGAATAATTAAAGAGAAGATGATACTAGTTGGAAGAAGAAATATAAAATAATTGGAATAGGGTGAAAATAAAAATGCTATGGAGAAGTTTCTCTATGCATCGTAGAACTTTGACAGAGGGGCAGGGCATTTTGCTTCCTCTACATGATAGTACAACCAACTACATATTAGTATCAAAAGCAAGTGCATACATATGATTCAAGCAAGAGAGACAAGAAAAAAAAAAACATGATTACATGAATCAATACTGTTCTTGACATTGGTAGCACATTGCTGACTAAAGAAGAACTGCTACCTCATAAATACTTGTGTAAAAAAGGTGATCTTAATGACCAAAAACAAGATAATGTGTAGCATCACATTCTAAATGACTCATTTAGGTGAGAGAATCACTACGACACAAAAATCAAGTAAAACAAGACTAATACCAGCAACAAACAATTGAGAGCCATAAAATAGGAGAACAAAAATGGCCATTCCAAAAGAGAAAAAATGATATACATGCAAGAGACTCAATGGTCCAGATTGAAGGATAAAATTGTAAATGGTAGAGATCCAATGATTTGGAAAAAAAATCACAAAATGAATTACTAGTGGGATTACTTTTGCAATATTGTGAATCCACAACAATGAAGTACTGGACCACCATCGGTCCATAAATCTGATTGGTCTAAATACAGTTAGATGGAGGGTCAGGATACACCCAACAGCCACTTGAGCTTACAGGACGGTGTCAGTATAGTCTACGTATTTGGTAACCAAATACACTAAGTGTAGTACTATATAGTGTAACCGAATTCAATAAGTGTATACTCACCTAATTAGAGTTAGTAAGATGATGGCTGTGTGCAGCCAACATATATGTATATATGTATAAGGCTTTGCCTCATGTAATTCATCTTTTACTCTTTCGATCTGACTACGCGATACTAACAGAGTGTCCCCCTTTTTCATTGATTGATTGATTCTGTAGAGGAGCATGGACACCCAAGCATTGCATGGGCTGGGAGTGAAAGACGCAAAGAAGGAAGCAACAGTGGAGGAGTAGTGAGAGGCTGTGATGGTGATCGGTGGAGGAATGAATGGTGGTGCCGCACATAGGAGGACAATGAAAGGGAGCTAGCTGCATGACGAGAAAGGAAAAGGAATTGGAAACGGAGGCGCGGCTACAGTGTCACATCGGAAAAAGAGCATCGAGAGAATCCAGGAGTACAAGATCACTCGCCACCACCGCATTTACTGCGAGTAACTGTCCACTCTCTCACAAACTTTCCCTCAACTTCAGCTAAGAAAACACGCACACACACAGAGAGAGAGACGGTATAGATGGCAATCCGCATATGGGGTATAATTGATCGAAGTTCCAGGAAGAGTGCACTGGGTGTGACCATGTGGAAGGTTTCTTGCAGAGTTCAGTGCGCCGCTGAATTTGCTGCACTCAATCGTTACTATTCCGTCCATGGCTTTAATGAACTGATACTCTTATTCATCCATGGGAGAGACACTGTCTGTGCGCTGCAGGGATTGGCACATTGTACGTGTGTGGACGGCGTGCAGTGAAGGATGAAATATTACGAACTGGAGGAACATATATATATATATATGAAGCGGGGGCTCTCATAAAGGGAAGGAGGGGGCATTCTCGCAAAGGAACTGGAGATTTGCTTTAGTTCCGCCCTTGTTTCAGGTTTCCAGCACAATCATAATCTTCATCAACAGGAACATTCTCTCAAATACTTTCGACGCTTTTCGATACTCTTTCTGTTCAGCTCTCGGCCACTGTGAGCTGTTGTTGTGCGCCTGCCACATTCGTTGTGGCAGCAGGGTTTAAAGAAGAAGTAGGGGGTCCGAGGTGGCGGTTATGACCGTCGAAATTTGGTTTTCGGGATTTGGGGATTTTGAGCTGTAGTCACGATGAGGTCGAGGTGATAAGTAAGTTGGTGGAGGCGTTAGAACAGGGGATCATGGTGCTGTGAGGAGAGCGTTGCTTTGTGGATTGGGTGCTGTTGTATTTCAGAGATTTGACAGCAGGGGTGTGGAGCTCATGTAGGTTGCGATATGGTTTTCGCAAGAAGTAGCTCGGTTGACACTGTAATTCTGGGCTTATGAGCTATAGTTGATGTTGCCTTTTGCAGATGTAGTTTGAAACCCGATTGTTTGATACTTGAGGTCGGAGATAGGTGTCAGGTGAAGCTTTTGCTGGTTTTGGTACTGAATCCTTTTATATTACAATGGAAGTTAAACGCTTTTTGTGAGGCTTCCTGTTGTTTGAGTATTTGTGCAAAAATGTACTAGTTAGGAAGCGGACGAGGATGATAGAGAAGCAGACCGGCCACAGAGAGGCGCAAGAATGTCGATTACCTCTCTTCTCCGGGTGGGTTCGGTGAACATCGGTGAAGACGGGCGACATATCTGCAAGATTGGATATGTTAGTTATGATCATCTGCGGGCGGCCCTTCGTCGGGATGTCGTGAATTTTCCTCTGGCCGAATTCATGATTTCCTCGTGGCGCTGCGTTCCCTCTGCGAACTTGCTGCGCCTCGCGGGTTCAAGGCTCGACTCTTTTCAGAATTGGAGTACCAAAAGAAGGGTCTCAAATGGTGTCGTGAGCACGAGATATGGCGGGCGAATAGGATGCTGCACAGAAACATCCAATGTAGGTCCTGCCACAGGTGCGAACAAGGTGAAAGAAGAAGTTAGTGTAGAAGTCAAGGAAGGGAGAGAAGAAGAATGGGTTGTTCGCGTTTCCGAATTGGACAAATTTTGGCAGGACAATCAGGATGGAGGTGTTCGTAAGGGTCATGATAATGGAGCGCCGCCATCACAGACACCTAAGGGTTTGACCTCAGCGGTTTTTTCGTCTGTTGAGGGGCAAATCGAGCAGGGCAGGCCAGGAGAACTGCGACAAACTTCAGAAGATGGCCGTCCTATTTCTGAAGAGGTTTGTGAGAAAATCAATGAGCCTTTCCTTGCATTTGTAAAATACGTTTTAAATTCCGATCGCTATCTTAGTCTATCAAAAACTGGGCGCGGCTGTAGGAACATAGAAACCTGATTTTTAAGCTGCATTACAATCGGCGTATGATTTCATACTCGTTGGAGATTGTCTCGCCACTCAATTTTTTTTGCTACGGCACATGATGGTAACCCTTCATTTATCAGAAGAATTGAATTTACGAAGCACGTAAGGGTATCATTTGGGCAACTTGCTCAATGCAGCTTATATGCTCTACTTTAGGTTTTTCAGGAATGCCTTAACCCCACAATTTGGGTTTTTTTAATGCATTCCCCTCCTGATCTCTATAATTAAGGTTTAAATTCTCATGAACATCAAAGTGGCCAAGTGCTTCTGCTTAATGTTAATAGTAATTTGAGTTGTTCAGAAGTGGCCTGATTTACATTATGAATAATTTTAATAACGTTTTAGGTTCTGTTTTTTTCTTACTCTTTCTTGGACGATTGTGCTCGCTGTTTTGTGTTTTAGACGAGCCAGTCAGCAATTCCAAGAAGTAGTGCAGACTCTACTTGATCCTCCCTTGATAATATTCACGCTCAAATGTGTTAACTGATTTTGGTATTGCTGTTTCCACAGAACAATCGTAATGATTACAATCTACAATCAAGTGTTGAACCGGTCTTCCTGGAAGTTATACCTGAAGACCTCGTGACAATTCACCCTGACCCTTCGCAGACTGTGGGACTTTTTGATGGTCAGCAGCCACTTCGTGTTGTCGAACAAGCACAGAGTGAAGCATACGTTGAGCCAGTCAAAGAGTGGGATTGGTGGCCAACTGGGCTTCGAGAGAACCAGATAAGAAGCAAACCGGATGTGCAGGGAAAATATGGTCGAGAAATGGCAGCTGCTATTCAAGCCGTCCAGCTTGCCTGCATGCTGAGCCAGCGTGTTCAGGAGCGTCTACTTCGGAACGAGGAGAAGGCAAGGTCTAAGAAGGACAAGTCTGTAGTTACTGTGGCAGGTACTTTTGTACCAGCATGAATTTATGAATAACCAAGATATTCAGTTTCGAGTTTTATACACCAAGTTCCAGTCACTGTCGTTGCTTAAGAGGACTTATGAGAAATTTTAGAGGATCCCTGAAGCGTGAAGTCTTTTTAGGCATTTAAATTTTTGAATGAAAGCATTTCAAGTACATATGTGTGCTGATGAAATTCTCTGAATCGCTGGCTTGGGAATAGATTGGGGAGTGCAAGCTGTTGTGAGCTGGGTTCTCTCACAATCTTTTCAAGGGGAAGAGTTATCGATGGTAGCTGAAGAAGATACGAAAGGCCTAAGGGGTCAAAGTGGCGTAGACATGTCACAGAGGGTCGTCAATGCTGTAAATGAATGCTTACGTGAGGCCTCCGCGGTGGGCATAGCGCCTCCAAAGCAACCACTTCGCTCTTACGAAGTCCTCAAGTTCATAAACAAAGGAACCGCCCCTGGTGGTCCTACAGGGCGTCACTGGGTGCTTGATCCTGTAGATGGTACTTTGGGATTTGTTCGTGGAGACCAATATGCAGTTGCCCTGGCTCTTGTAGACGATGGCCAAGTTGTGCTTGGGGTTTTAGGATGTCCAAATTTTCCAATGAGGCCAGCTTGGTTGGGATATCATCACAAGTAAGCGCCTGTTTCTCTACTAATATTTCGTAAGTCATTATGCAAAGCAGATATTTGTTTGTGTTTGTTTTCACTCAAATTTTAAAATTTTAGGTCTACCTATCTTATCACACCTCATCGTCACCAATCTTTCAGTGTGCTATTCAAATTGGTTTCTTTAGCCTTCTACAATCTAGCTGGGTATTTTCTCTTTACTAATTTTAGTTACCATGGGAAGGGTGCTATGTAGATTTATTTTGGTTTGGAGTAGGTAACTGTTCTTAGCATTAGATCTCTGAGGATTCTCCAATGGACACTACGTTTTAACAGTCGTAGTGAAATATCTGAACAGATACTACCGAATGGCAATGAAGATTGCACCCCCAGACCCTAGCCATTGGCACCGGGGGTGTGTCATGACAGCCCAAAAAGGAGAAGGTCGAGCATGGGTGCAGCCCATGATTTTTAATGGAGAATCATTCAATGAGTTTCATGCTCCTCGTGAGGTCTGCGTGTCATCGGTGGTTGATCCGGTAGACGCAACTTTTTGTGAGCCAGTTGAGAGAGCCAACTCAAGTCATTCTTTTACATCTGGTCTGGCGGACACTTTGGGTTTGAGGTAACTGACCTGTCATATTCCCACCCTTTGTCCGTCTCTTTTGACTTCATGATTTTGTAACTATAGATGAGCATTCGGTTCATGCGTTCAACACCTTTCTGTAAACCTCAAACGTGACACTGGTGGACGCTACGGTGTCCTGGTTTTCAAATAGATAGATTTTATCTTTACTGCATTCTACGTGCGTTACCAAAGCTACATTCATTAACAACTTATCATTAATCAGTGCCACCTTTTCTGGTTTGGCAATATATTGATAACGATGTTTATCTACTTTGACCTACCTATTCAATCTTTTCAAAAAAGAGTTACGTCTGCATTTCTTTTACACCGTCAAGTCTAGGATTTGAACTAGTGTCTTTCTGTTTTGTCCAGGAATCAACCACTGCGAGTCTACAGCATGGCCAAATACGCAGCCGTTGCTCGAGGGGATGCAGAAATCTTCATGAAGTTTGCAAAAGCTGGGTACAAAGAGAAAATTTGGGATCATGCAGCGGGTGTGCTCATAGTCCAAGAAGCGGGCGGTGTGGTAACTGACGCAGGTGGCCGACCTCTTGACTTCTCCAAGGGTCGGTTTCTGGAAGGACTGGATCGTGGCATTGTAGCTTGCTGTGGAAAGTCCTTGCACAACAAAATCATTGCAGCTGTGGATGCTAGTTACAATTCGTCTACTCTTTGAAATGTGCAATGGAAGGCTTTCACCATCATTGCTCTTGGCAATGTTGGTTATTGACTACACATAAGTAGGTATTGTTCTAATTACGGGGTCATTGTTCTATTCGAGTAGTACCTGCATAGGGAAGTGGCCAGCTTGTAATACGTTGGCTTCGGAAGGAGGGAATAACTCAGGTAGTGGATTAACTTCACAGACTTCCTGAAATTTTTCATTCCTGAGTAATATGTAGGATTCTTATGATCGGGACACAATCGTGTCCCGATTCAGGCAGTGTATATAGCAATTCTTGAAGTGGGGGTTTTTGACCAAGATCTTTAGGCCGTGAAGTACTAGCTTACTCAATTCCAAGAGTACATTAATTTTAAAGTCCATTTTGGCTCGATCCCAGTGCTCTTCCACGTTACAAGAATTATCCAATTTGCAGTTAAGGCTTGTGGCATTCTTACTAGATTATATGTCTAAAGATTTTGCGTCCATTGGATTTGGAAGCGGCTTGCTAAATCGCTGCGTTCCTGAGGTTTTCAGCTGTAGCTCAGTAACAAAGCTCATTTGCTGCCTTCTCCAATAAATGAATGATTTTATTGTATAAATACAAGTCCAAAAAATAATCAGATGTGGAACGTGCAAAATAAGATGAAAATACATGGCATTTTACTTATTTCTTACAAAAAGTTGGTGATAAACAGAGCATACTCTTTAGTAATCATATTTTACTTTATATATATATATATATATATATATATACACATATAAATCATTATTTTTGTGCAAACATGTCTAGTAAAGAAAAGAAGTACAAGCAGCAAAGTATTTGAATTCATGGAAATTGGTCTCACATGAATTAAAAACCATATAAACTAAATATTCAAGGGTTAGATTTAACTGTCTAAACAGTTTTAAACTAAATACAGATTCAATTGGTGAATAGTTACATTAAAGAAAAGAGTCCAATACTCATTTCTTTAGTGTTGGTTCTTTAATCAAGAAACCGTTATTAAACAAAGCTTTGACTTTGTCTACAATAATTACTATGTCCGATTGTAATTTTAAAGGAATTACTACTATACCTCATATTATATATGCCAGAAAAAAATAGTCTTTCCAGCACATCTAATTTGTATTTAACAAAGATCAAGATCTCTAACTAGAATACAAAATTTTATAGAAAAAATACTTTTTGAAAGAAGAGAAAAAAAAAGCTTCATAATTAAAATATTATTTTCCACAAGATTATTGAGCATACAAGCTTAATATCTAAGAAATGAAATATAAAAGATATAATGAAAATTGATGATGATAATGATGCTATATATATATATATATATATATATAACTAAAAAAAAATAAAAAGATAATAATAATTTTTAAAATGGTGATAAAAATATAAAAGAATATCAAAACATCATATGTATATGTATGTATGTATGTATATATATATATATATATACATAATTAGGATATCTTTATTGAAAAAAGATTAAAATATTTATATGTTTTTAATGTACTTTTGTCAATATATATATATATATATATATATATATATATATATTTCATTTGTTTTCACATTTTTTCTTACTGTTTTCTGTAGAAGTGTTTTGAAAGAAACAGTAATTAGTGGTATTCTGTATTCATAATAATTTTAAAATACTTTCAGTTTCAAAAGAATATTCAATACCTAGTTTACGTATTTCAAATCTTGTTGCACTTTTAGCTTCCTGTTGATTACCGTAGTTCCTTCAAAAAATTCATAAGAATAATTGCTTCATGGACATTATGTTGTCATTATTGCACAACACACTACCACTTCTGGAATCTTGACTAGCAAATTTTTTGTTTTTCATGGTCTATTGAAATTCTTATAGAAATCATCTACTATCATAAGTCATAAAAATGTTATTTTTTTTATAAAAAAATCTCTTAAAAGTTCTCATATAAAATGTTTACTTGTGGATGTAAACCAAATTCTTTTCATTTAGCATACTCTCACATTAGTAGTAGCTTCATCAACATATTTGCCTTTGATTACAAATCTATTTCTAATCTACTAATTCAAATTCACTCAAAAAGAATTTATTAAATTGTTTTTATCTTATTGATGTTACAACAACAATTTCAAAATTATTGCTCTTCTTGCATGCACAAATTTCTTATTTGACAAACAATATGTGACATGAAAGAATAAGAGAATTGTTGTATTATATGAAGTCATGCTTGAGAATGCACCACGCACTAAGTTGTGGAAGGTGAATTCGAAATTGCAACAACAAGGTCCTAACAACTCTGATGGAATATAAAAAAAAAACCCCAATTAAACCCTAACAACTCTAATGGAATACCAAAAAAAAACCCCAATTAAACCTTAATAATCCTAATGAAATTTAATCAAATCCAAAACAAGTTTTAAAGAAATTATTAAAAAAAAAAACATAAAGAATTTTTAAAGAAATCATTAAATACTTTACAAAATAGTCTTAAAAAATCATAATCAAACCTTTAAAAAATTAATAATTAAAAAATCCTAAAAAATTAATAAAAATAAAAATTCTAAAGAATTAATAAAAAATATTTAAAAATACTGAAAATAAAAATTTGTAATAATTCTTGAATAAATTCTAACCAAATCTTAAATAAGTCGTAAGTAAATCTTGAGTAAATCTTAACAAACTCCATATAATAGTCTTAAAATTCCAATAACTAATAATTAAATTATTGACTTTGGCTAAAATATTTCTCAAATTTTAATCTTTAACTAAACATCAAGTACATAAAGTTTGAGAAAAATCAAACTCATTAATCGGAAAAAAGGGCTCCTAATACTCTTGGTTATAGATCATCTTATCAAGGACAAGAACTTGATAAAAATAAATAAATAAGTGAGACTTCTCTCAAAGAAAGATGACAAAATAGAAATAACTTGATATGTATATAAAGAAAGAAACCGGAATGGCTATTGCCAAAAGCCAAGAAAACTAGAGATCCTTGAAAGTAGACTAGAAGCAAGAAAGTAGTTGACAAGAGTGAAGAAGGCTTTACTCTTTTCTCTATATACTATCTAACTAGGGACTACGTGGCGATGTTCTACAAGACCTCCAATATGTGTTGACTTTGTAGGACACATGCCTTGACTTACAAGGCAAGTTTTTCTACGTGTGGACCACATAGTTAGATTGGTCTTCAAGCTAACAACATGTGTGGCACATGGCCAACTTATTGACCACGTTGCTAATCCAAAAAGTCAATTAAAGACACATATAAAGTCAAAGCAACGTCTATGAAGCTTCTAGGAAGCTTTCATAGTAAATATTATAGAATTAACTTATTTTTACCTACTTTTGTTTACTTCTATCTATTTATACATGTAATTACTAGCTTACATGCATATGTCCATGACATTACCCCTCCTTCTAGGAACAAGTTTTATAAGGAGCGGTCATCATATGTTGAGGAAATCTATGATGCGACGAATTATATTTGCCACATACTCTGATCTTTGTTTTCTTTGTAGATGATTGATAGGGCCTCTCAACCATCCATAGTGTCCCATACCAAGGCAGAAAGACCACTCAATTATTTGATCATTGTTGAGGATTTCATAACCTCCTTCAAATAAAACATTTGGAACACCGTCAGGACTTGTTCCTACCTCTAGTAAAATCACTAAACATCAAGAGTCCCTTCTAAGGTCGTGATATCAAACGTGTTATATCTCGCCATCTATTCTAAGAAAAACATGTCATTCTTGAAGATCTTCATCTCAATTGTGTCATCTTGAAGGTTATGACAATCGTAATATCTCATCTAGCACGTCAACAAATGAAGGGTCTTGAGTCGAATCTGCTGGTTGTTGATTTTTTATCTCCTCAGTGTCACAACTACAAAGAAGCTACAAACAAGGATTGAAAGTAGAATGTTATCTTGCTTAGATCTTATTTCTTTTATAAGGAAGGTTTTCATCTTAATTTTGATGGATGTCGTCGATAAAAAGCATCCACCATCTTTGCTACATTTGTAAGATTCTTTACTAGCTCCCATGTGCATTTACTAATATTATATCTGCCCCAATGGACAAGATATTCCAATTTATTTCGACGTCGCCTTGAATCTAAGACTTCTTTCACTTCTATAGGAGGAGATGGAGCTTGTCTTCTTCTTGGTATGTCCATTGTCTTGTATGGTTCAAGAAGAGATACGTGGAATATTGGATGGATTTTCATTGACTCCAATAGGTGTAAATAATATGCAACTGGATTGATTTGTGCAGGAATAGAAAATGGTCCAAGCCTTCGATAGTCCAACTTGTCACAAGGACGATTAATCTTGATATTGCAACGAAGTAATCATACCTTATCACCCATGTGAAATGGTGGTTGTTTCTTTCGATAGATATCTGCATTGATCTTTTGTTGTTCTTGAGCTTCTTTTAACTGCACCTTCATCGTTGCATGTAGCTTTCACAAATGAATTGCCAAATCTTTTGCAGTAGGATTATCAACTTTTGAAAAGTCAAAAGTATCAAATCATGGGTGATAATCATAATTGACAAAGAAAGGTGTTTGTTTTGTATAAAAATGTATTGTATTATTATAAGCAAACTCTGCCAATGGCAAAAGAGCTATCCAATCATCTCATTGGTAATTAATGGTACATCTTAAATACTGCTCCAAAACTTGATTAACACACTCCATTTGTCCATCAGTTTGAGGATGGAATGTCAAAGGTAGTTTTATATCCACTTTTAGAATCTTGAAAAGAGTCCGCCAAAAACTTGATACAAATTGAGTTTTCCTATCTGATATATTATCCTTGGATAATCCATGATAGTAATAGATATTGTCAAGAAAGAGATTAGCTGTTTCTTCACCTATAATAGGTTTTGTACATAGTACAAAATGTACCATCTTGGTAAAACGATCTACTATCACGAATATAGAGTCATAAGAACCTGAGATAAGAAGATCCATGATGAAATCCATGTAAACAGAAGACCATGGTTGTTGTAGAATGGGTAATGGCTGAAGAAGTTGGTAAGGTTGATGACGAGGAGTTTTTGATCTTGAGCAAATATCACAAGATTGTACAAAAACTTTGACTGCTTTCAACATTTGAGGCCACTAAAAGTCTCTGGATATTAATTCTAAAGTTTTATTGTACCCAAAATATCCTACTGCTGGAAAGTCATGACGAACTTGAAGAATACATAATCGAGCTTCACCTTCTAGAACATGTAGGCATCCCTCAAAATATAATAGATTCTTCTTGAATTCAAACTTAGAAGTATCATGAGACTTTGAAGGATTTTCCTTAATATCACAAATAAAAGGATCAGAAGACATACTTGACTGAACTTGCTTAATGAAAGTTGAATCAGCAGTTAGTATTTATTTCAT